TCTTCTCTGTAAAAAATCAATAAAATATATTTTAAAAAAAAATAATTGGGGGGGGGGGGGGTTTGTTTTGGTTTTGGTCCACTTTCCAGAAAAGCAGTGATGAAGCGGGGAGAGAGGAAAGGCGGGGTTTACTGGAGGCCCGTCAGGCACTGTACTAGGCACTCGGGGCGCCTCCTCTTGAACCTCGTCACCATCTGTCCTGTTTTGGTGTCGCGTCCACTTTGCGTTGAAGAGTCCGAGGTGCAGAAGCTGCTGAAGCCCATTCAGAGCTGAAGTGTCAGCATAGATCTTGAGCCCCAGAGTGTCAATGCCCGAGCCTGGCGACTTCCTTTATTGCACTGGTTTACTTTACTTTTTTAAATCCTGGTAAAATATACCTAGCATAAAATTTTCCCTATTAACCATTTTTAAGCGTATAGTTCAGCAGCATCAAATACATTCACACTGCTGTGCAACCATGAACACTGTCCATTCTCCAGAATGTTTCATCATCTCAAACTCAAATTCCATACCTATTAAACAATAATGTCCCCATTGTTCCCTTCCCCCTGGCCCTAGGTCAGCCGTGGGCAAACTACGGCCCGCGGGCTGGATCCGGCCCGTTTGGAATGAATAAAACTAAAAAAAAAAAAACCGCACCCTTTTATTTAATGATGTTTACTTTGAATTTATATTAGTTCACACAAACACTCCATCCATGCTTTTGTTCCGGCCCTCCGGTCCAGTTTAAGAACCCATTGTGGCCCTCGAGTCAAAAAGTTTGCCCACCCCTGTTCTAAACGAAGCAGGTGCAACCCCCCTGCATCCTGGGGGGAGGGGGTGCTGGGCACCTGCCCGCTGGCATCGGGTTGGAGCTGGAATCCTGGCTTTGTGACCTTGACCCCATAACTGAGCTGTGTTCGCCCCAGAGACCTCCTAGTGAAAGGGGGTGGCGACAAGGATGAGCCTATCATCTCAGCACATCACAAGCACACGGGGCTACGGGTGTGGGTCCCCTTTTCTTTTAAATTCTCTTTAAGAAAATTTTTCTGTTGCTTTCAGCGAGGAAGGGAGAGGAAGAGAGAAACATCAATGATGAGAGAGAATCATAGGTCGGCTGCCTCCTGCACACCCCCTACTGGGCATTGAGCCCCAACCCGGGCATGTGCCCTGACCAGGAATCGAACTGTGACTTCCAAGTTCAGGGGTCAATGTTCAACCCCTGAGCCGGGCTGGTTCCCCTTTCCCGGGAGCCACTGCCTCACCCCAGATGGGCTGCAGGAAACACTGCTAGGTACGGCCCGCACCTGCAGCGCCCACCCCAGCAGCAGCGGGGAATGCAAACCCGAGGGGAGCCCCAGCCAGCGGCCGCTTTGCGTGGCCAGCGACACAGCTGCCTCCCGAGCGGCTCAGGCTTTCACAGGCTCACCGGCGGGTGGAGCTTGGTGCGTGATACTCGTCTGTTCTGCTACGGCTTTGAGGAACGCTCACCTCTGCAGCCACATACGCAGCACAGCGCCGTGGCTCATTCCCTTTCCCGCCGTCAGAGGAAACCGTCCGAGTCAGTCGTGGAGGCGGCGATTACCAACCACCGAGGGGAGCCCCAGCCAGCGGCGGCTTTGCGTGGCCAGCGACACAGCTGCCTCCTGACCGGCTCAGGCTCTCGCGGGCTCACCGGCGGGTGGAGCTCGGTGCGTGATAGTCGTCTGTTCTGCTACGGCTTTGAGGAACGCTCACCCCTGCAGCCACATACGCAGCACAGCGCCGTGGCTCGTTCCCTTTCCCGCCGTCAGAGGAAACCGTCCAAGTCAGTCATGGAGGCGGCGATTACCAACCGGGGCTGGGAGGCACCTGGGCATTTGCAGGAGACCTCGGGAGGGTTACACAATCCTCAAGTCAGTTAATTGGAATTCACTTCCATCTGCTTTACATGGCACCTGAGGGGCAGGACGCACAGGGGCCTCCCTGAGGGGCTCCGCCCACGGCTCCCACAGGCCGGGACCTGCTCGGACTCATTCCAGGGGAAGCACTTCCATGGGTGTGGCCCCTTTGTTATCATTTAGGAAACGGTTGGAAATGGTGTTTATTTTTATCTCGGCATAGCAACTGCATTCCCTAAACAGCGGCTTTTCCAGTGAAGACATCAGGACTGTAAACACGAGAGACACTGGGAGTCAGTTCACACGTCCACATGCCGTACGTTAGCTCACGGCGAGGGTGGCCTGCCGCACGTGTCTTTATTTCTGAAGTCACATAAGCACAATAAATACATCGGATTTGGAAAGGTCACTTAAGATGAGTCATGACAATCTACGGTACAGTACGTCTCAGTTCAAGTGCAAAAATAACTGTTTGCTTAATTCCACTTCTTTCCCTTATTATTTCGTCCACATGCCGTACGTTAGCTCACGGCGAGGGTGGCCTGCCGCACGTGTCTTTATTTCTGAAGTCACATAAGCACAATAAATACATCGGATTTGGAAAGGTCACTTAAGATGAGTCATGACAATCTACGGTACAGTACGTCTCAGTTCAAGTGCAAAAATAACTGTTTGCTTAATTCCACTTCTTTCCCTTGTTATTTTTAAAGCTGTGTTTTGTGGAGCCAGATATCCACGCGTGGGATTTCTCCTCCCCATGCAGTTTTGGGCGGACGTAGGTTTCATGGAGCCGCTCTTACTCTACCACTGACCCGTGTAACGGGGCCGGGGGTAAGCGAGTGGCTCCTCTTGACCGTCCTTCCCTTTCCTCCTCCTCCGCTCCCCGACAGCTACTATCCACGCGGACTGGCCCTCATTCCCTAGCGGCTCCCTTTCCCCGGGCTCCCCACTTCCCGGGGACCTCGGCTTCATTGTTAGCAGCGAGCTTTGCGCGAGTCACTGGCCGTGGCCACTACAGTAGTGGTATGTTCACAGCAGCAAGCCCACAGCCAAGTCCAGTGTCTGACTGTCCCCCACACAAAGCGGAAACCCCCCCCTTACATAACTTCAAAAGCCGTATCCCTCCCCCAGGCACTTACATGTTATACTGTTACTTGGAAATAGCACTGCTTCGCTAAAGAAACCCTTAGGAATTCAGCGAGTAAGAGAAAACCCCGCCAGCCGAGTCGAGCCTGAATCACCAGGAACCGTAAAGCCTGGTCGAGGCGACTCGCAGCATCACCCTGGCCAGCGCCCCTCGCCTCTCGGCCCAGGACACGGAGGCGCGGGGTGGTCTGGAATGTTCCCTGCTCTGGTCCTGAAGCCCGTGGAGAACAAACGGCCTGTGAACACGCCGCTCGGCTCGCGGGGTCCCCGAGCTCTGCTCAGGGGCTCGGCTGCTTTCCCGCCTTCCACGCAGACGGGAAACGCCCCTGCGGAGCTTGGAGGGACCCCGAGGCCACGCTCCTGAGGACTCTCCTTCCTTTTCTTAAACAAAAGCACAGCCGCTGCTCACTCACCTGCTCCCTGGATTCTTTACGCACAATTTCCAAAGGGTTCTCTTCAAGAGAAACAGGCGGCTCTTCCTCCCGTTCGTTCGCACGAAGAACCAAATGACGAATAAATAATGAGAAGGGACCCGCCCTCAGCGCTCACCTCCCTCCACTTAGTGTGACTCTGCACCCCGACCTACCCCAACCCGCCCGCGAGTCCCCGCGAACCCCACTTCCTCCCGCCACTCCAGCGGGTTGTGGGCGGAACGGCTCCTGCCAGTATGCACGGTGGCTACATGTGTGTGTGTCTCCACGCCGATGGTTCAGATACTCAGAAGCGTGTGGCGCGATGCTCAAGGCGGGCGTGTGCCGGGCTCGGGATGCCTCCCCGGTCCCGAGGCCCCGGTCCATG